GGAGCGCTGACTCAACCGCCACGTCACTGCGGGATGGGGGGCTTCTCCGTTGCGGAACATGTCACAATATGTTTCCATAAGTTTGCTAAAAACTCAGTTGAGTTATTCATCTAAATATCAGTACAAAATGAGAGGGCTTTATACAAATAATTTCCATTTCCTTGATATCTCCAATTCAGCTCATTTCTCTTAGATTAAAGCATCTTACTTACTGTGCTGACTTTCTGTTTGAACTTTCACTAAGAGTACATAGCATGAGATATGCATAAAATGGTGAGTAGGTAAGAATTTAGAAGTAGAAGCTTGTGGTAAATTTGAAGGTACCATATCAGAAAACCATGAAACACCTCATTAGGACAGCTGGCTGGTATTTGAAACAGATGAATCAAAATGTAAGTGTGCAACACACCATCCTGCTCTGGGTTTAACCTGCTAAATGGAATGAGAGGATGATTATGTACAGTAATTTGGTAAGATGTAAGTGAATATGGCAATAACCTACTTGAAGCATTCACTTGGAGGAACTGAGAATAATCAAGAATGCAAGTTAATCAATCTCCTTACTGCTGTACTGGACCAAATAGCCCATGAATTCAAGTGAGATGAACATACATGATCTAACATGCATAACGGAAATGAAAGGAAAATGCGATTCACTGTGTTAAAATTTGCTTACCAGCACTCTGTGTGTCATCCCATTGAAAGAAGTCCCTTGGACTCTGTGAATGGTTCAAATGTCTGTGCCTGCCAGTGCTGCTGCCTGGTGGGTCTACAGTTTGCTCCCAGCTGATGAAGGTGTCTTCCATAGCTATTTCCTTGCCATAGTATGTGATGAGCAATGCCAACATGATCATACCATCCATCACATCTCAGCCATCCTGTTCGCTACCCGGCTCCAGTCATGACTTCCAGTCTCGAAAAAGACTGGAGAATCCATAAGTTTCAGTTGGCATGTTATAGACATAAATCTTTCTTGCCATTACTTCTTAATTTTAGAAAATGCCATTAGAAGATATAAGAAAAGCAGATGGGACTGAAAGTGAATGGAACACATCACACATCAGCTTCTGGTTTATGTTGATGATGTAAATCTACTGAGAGATAATATAAATACAATAAAGAAAGAAAAAACAGAAGGTCTAATAAGGTGCAAGGAGGCTGCTCTAGAAAGAATACAGAGAATACTAAGTATATTTTGATGTCTCCTACCAGAATGCAAGGCAAAACATAACATTAAGACAGTTCACAGATCCTTCAAAATGGGGCAAAGTTCAAATATTTGGAAGCAAGGAGTAAACAAAGAGCAGATTAAATTTGGGTAAAGCTTGCTACCATTCACTTCAGAACCTTCTGTCCTCTTGTCTGCTGCCTAAGATTGTTAACAATTAAATTATACAAAACTATAATTTTTCCTGCAGTTTTGTACAGGTGTGAAACTTGGTCTATGACATTAAGGGAAAAACAAAGGCTGAGGGCATTTGAGAACAGTGTACTGAGGAGAATATTTGGACTGAAGAGGGATGACATGATAGGAGGTTGGAGAAAACTCTATAATGAGGAGCTTCATAACTTCTATTTTTGCCAAGTATAATTAGAATGATCAAGTTAAGGGGATAAGACGGGCAGAGCATGTTGAACGCACTGGGAGGGAGACCAATGAATACAGAGTTTTGGTGAGTAGTTAATATGACTGACTCACACTTTTATGAAATTTGTAAGTCAGAGTCTAACAAACGATAATCATGAATATTAAGCATCCTATGACAATTAGTTTCAGGAACACAGCATTTTGAAGCTTAAAATTAATTTACATTAACTCATTTTGAATCATTAAGGCATTTAACTTTGGCCCTAATCAAGACATGACAGTTATTCTTGTAATACCATAATATCAAGCTCTTAAATGGGGCTTTCATCTGATGGACCATTTGTGACTCCACCGGATATCTTGAATTCTTCACGCAGACCTTTCACCTTAATTGTCCACAAGTGCTGTGAAATTTATAAGATTTTTCCTTCCACAATATTTTGTGACTATGTAAGTACCTTTCTAATACTGTCATGTAGGAACATGAATGGGATTCTACAAAGTTTTAACTCATGTATACATATGTGCAGAGCTCTTGCACAGCTATTTGGTTCTGGTGGCATCAATACAATTGCTACTATAAAATAATTTTTGTTGCTACTATTTATCTGGTCCACACTACCATAAATGACTTGGTTTGCTACATTCATGCACTCGTATGCAAAGTTTCTCATTCGAAAGTTCCCAATTGCCACAGATCATCTCCATTTCAATGCTCTTCTGCTTTTCACTTCACTGAAAGTGTAGGGCTAAAGGCAGTTATGGTCACTGTAGACAAACTAATGTTTGTTGTGGTGTTATTTTTAATGCCAGCGTTTCTGTAATACCTCTGTCAGCATATTGACCTCTACACAAATCCAGCCATCAGTGCCGCACCACATGCCTTCAGCAAACATTCACTGTGCCAAACCTGGACATGCCTTCAGCAAACATTCACTGTACCAAAACTGGACATGGCTTCAGCAAACATTCACTGTATCAAACCTGGACACCTGTCAGGGTTCCTGAAATGAAGAACGTTTTGGACTTAATATTTATAACAAAAATTATCAACAAATCTACGCTGAAAATACACTGGACAGAAGACTCTGCTTTAGGAATACAAGTATTTTTTAAAACAGATTAAAAAATAATTCATTCTTGCATTGTAATGATCATTCATCTGTCATGGAAGTGGGGTGGCCCTAGAAATCACAGTTATCTTTACCTTGAGCAGGACTATTGTGTTTATATGGATAACTACAACAGCTTGAAGTTATCACAGAAACTGAGAGTAACATAACTACCTGTGGTGTAATTACACACAAAAGATGTTTTCAAACAGATCTGAAAGAACACCAAAAGTGAGTAGAATAGCATTTTGGTGCAATGGAGATGTACTGCGGTTTTCACAGAGAGAGAAGAGAGTTACACATATGGTATCCATTATTCATTCTGCCGAAATGGTTGAGGTTATGCAGATTAAGCAAAATAAATTTAAACTGATATGTACTATGTAACATTTGAGGTTGAGTATAACACATTCATGCATAGCATGGATTATCCTGATCGGTATCTCAGAATGTATCCTTTCCCCGAAATGGCTGAAGAACCTCTTATTCTGTAAACTCCAGTGCACTGTGGTGAACACTTTCATCCCACTTAGCAAGTGCAATGTAGACACCAAAACTGACTTTCTGTCATTCAGGACAACCACAAGATAATGAGATGACTGGAAAAAGTGTTCCCCCTTAACCAGAATATGCAGCATCCAGTGTTCCTGATCCTTCAGCAAGCATACCATTCTTATCCTCAATGTCTTCAAGATCTGGTATTGCAATACCCTCGTATCAAGCCCAGGCCTCTGATCCTCCATATATATGGTGTTTGAATGCCTGTTCCTGAATGGAGAAGATTGCCTTGGTTTATGCTTCTTTTTGTTCTTCAAAGAAACGCTGCACTGCATTCAAACACCATTAAGACTCATCATAAAGGTATGTTAAAAATTACACTTTTATATGTTTGTTAGCATATGAGAGAACTGAAACTAAGTAGACTGATGCTATGTAGCTACCAATGTACTAATTCAATGGCTTCTAAAACAGGCTGGGCTGGAGTGAGTGATGAGCATGCAGAGAGTTAGAAGTGTACATGTTTCCTTATTTCACAATTCAATCAGTGATGCTGTAAGTAGTATCAAATGGTAGGCTGATTAATTACACAGGATGCAGAAGAAGCAGATGTGCCTTAATTAAAGTACTATCCCAACATCTGCCTGGATGGACTGGACATAATAGAATCCTTTTAAGGGAAGTCACAGCACCAGTTCTGTGAAAAATTTTCTATCCATGGGTAACAGATGATGAAAAAGGTATTAAGTGTTCAAACAGGACAATGATTCTATGATACGAGTAAAATCACATAAACAATCAAAAATTTTCCTGATCTTGAGAAAATGAACTCAGAATGTGACATAAATGCTATCAAAGGCTGCAAGGAAATTTTAGGTATCAGGTTTAATAATGACCTAAGGTATGTAGTTTCCTGAGCAAACATAGCTCTACAGCTAACAGAAGGAACACCAGCTTCGATTAAGCTGTTACAATTGAAGTACTCAGAAGCAAAAACTCAAGAAAAAGGAAAATGCTATAAAAAGGATTTTAGTGCACATGTTGCCTGCTCAGGGGCAAAGTTCAATCACAGCATAGATGAAAGAAAAATGTAAGAGCAGCAAAATTTTGACATTTCTTCCAAAGAGCTCACCATTTATGTAAACCTTTCATAACAAGTGTTACTCTCACATTAACTTATTAATTATCTGCAAAAGTCTGGTCTATATTTCACAGGACACTATGTATACAATTCATGATTTATTTTAGGGGTTACAATCAGAAACTACTAATGCAAACCAGCAACCATGAAACTGCAACAGAAGATTCTTGTAGTAGCAGAGATGGCAAATGTTTTCACTACCTGAGGCCACATACACAACAAACGTTATACATCAGTGCAAAATAGTGCCTGTACCAAGTAGTGGGCTTAATAAAAAATCAGTTGTTGTACATTTTTAGATATTTAATCAGTTCTTGGCTTGAATGTGGTTCAGAGAGAGAGACAAAAGTAGCCAAGAAGTATAAACAACACAGCATTTTCCTGTAGCCATTTTTCACTAGGTAAGCAAACTTCCCAATATATGGGATGGACACATCAAGTAACAATAAAAATGTATCTCACAAAAGAAATAATTATGGCTTGAACTATTGAATTATCAGCTGGCTTCAGACACTAATAAAGAGAAACTCTGTTATCACCAGCGAATATCTCAGTCAGTGCCCGCAGTTTACCATCTCTGTGTGGTATTTACTTGTGACACAGCAATAGTATGAATGGGATGAAAGGTTCTTGGTTGCTGGCATGTTAACTGCACCAAATTATGTAACTCTCAGGTTCTGTTGTTAGCAAGTAAAAGATATGTACATAAACCTACATTAAAAGGTAAAATTGTCCCCATGCTTAACTTATTAAGCACTATGCCATATAGATGTATGGGGGTGTAAATGAACAGATCCACATATTCTTGACCTCGGCAGTAGTTGTACGTGAGTGGTCAGCTTCACGCCCCAGCTGCTTTACCGGTGGGAAAACAGTTGCAAGGACTCACTGAATAGGAGGCTGGGTGGGCCCCAAAACTGGTATGAATAATGCGGAGGGACATGAACATATGATATTGTGACATGTAGGTCGCTTCTAGAAAACAAACTGGCAAACACATCTCCATGGAGATAAGATTCTTGGACATAAACCATCACTGGGTGTTAAACAAATGTGTCCATGGACACAAAAATGAAAAGGTGTAGACTTATGGAAATCAGATCATTGCTGAGGAATCAACCATGTCCATGGAAACAAACAAACAACAAACATTTTCCTAGGATACAAGACACTATCCTATAAGCAGCCATGCAGATAAGATTGCAGATGGAGATGATTCATAAGGCGGTTGTCGATCAAGACAGTCATAAAGTAACTCTGAATCAAGGCAGTTACAGAAGAAGAAAGACTAGAAGATAAGACAGTCATAGTACAGCCAGAATGGAGTGAGTCTTAGGCAGTCTTTGACTGTGAATTGTTATAACTGACTCCGATTAAGAGAACTTGTAAAAGAAGGTGTTATTAAATCCAATCAGCCAATCCGAAACCCGTTATTATTAGCCACAGAGACATAAACACTTGACAACATACTTATATTAGATGCTACAGTGAAGTTCATATATTTCAAACATTAAGACAGTGGACATGGTATACACGCTACCTCAAGATGGAGACAGAATCCATTCTCAAAAATGTTGTTTTTTTTATAAGAAACATGAAGACGAATAATGTCAAGAAACACAATAATTATATTAGGATAGTAAATTCTTAAATTTGGTACTATGACTATTAAGATTTATAACCTTCCAAAACCTGTGCGATACAATCTGGAAGAAGTTCACTGGCATTTTGGTTTGATGCCCTTAAACCAAACACCAATCACATATCTGATTACTACTGTTAGCTCTGTCCATGTATTTGCTTGAACTTTTCCAACTAGCGCTCTGTACTGAAGAACTGTTCCAGACATCTCAAGCTGCAACAGAACAAAGAGCAATTCAATTGCAACACATGTTACTGTGGAACAGAAAGAGATGCTAAAGCACTGAAGCATTATTTGAAAGCTTGAAAGGCCACAAAGGAATATTTTAAAATTGATTATGGACTCATTCCAAGACTGAAGAGACAAGGAATGTCCTTTAGGAACATTTGTTTTCATTCTCTCACACTGACACCCACCATGACACATAAATCAGAGTGTCAATGTATAAATAAACATAATGTACATCAGAGTAATCCAACTAAAGCTAAGCTAAGCAAACCTAACCTAACCAAAGATAACCATGACCAGAACCAAATTTTTATGTTGAATATAAACCTCACAAATAACAGATTACATATATTCATTTCAGACATCTGAGATGCCATGTTCATTCTTAAAGACTGAATATCATGTTTATACCAACATTTCACTCCTGTGCTCTATTATTATATTAAATATAGCCTAAACATTCCAGTCAGCAGCAACTTCATAATACATTCCATTAACATCACAGAAGAGAGTAAGCTTTGTAGGAACATCAACTGCTGTACAAGGCTTCCAGTCTTCCAACTTCACATTTATATCTATATGCATGCTACATACCTTGCCCATTCATTTCTGCTACAAACATATGGAACCATTTAAATTTGTAATACGCTTCTAGAAGCTCCTGCTTTTGTGTAATATATTCTTACTATGAAGTCCGTTACTAAAATGATTATAATTTTATGCCTAACTAGAATCTTAACAGTACTCATTCTTTTGCTGATTTAATATCATTCAGTTTTGCTCTCAAACTGGTAATTATCCAGCTGTTTGTCTGTATCCTTCCCACAGTATAGTAAGACAAAATCACAATACCTGCTGTCAGTTCCCCTACTTGATATACATATAATATGTAGGAATTATGCTACCACCAACACAACAAATATTTCAGTTATATTTACTGCGACATGTTTAGGTCATACATGTCAGGCAGGAAACATGTCCAGGAAAACCAGGTGGGGCTGAAATTAAATGGGACACATCAGCTGCTGACCTATGCCGATGATGTGAATCTACTGGGTGATAATGTAGACACCATAAAGAAAACCACACAAACTTTAATTGACGCAAGTAAATAGGTTGATCTAGAAGTACACACAGAGAAAATTAAGTATATGTTACTGTCTCGTCAATAAAATGCAGGGCAAAATCATGACATAAAGATAGGAAACAGATGTTTTGAAAATGTGGCACAGTTCAGATATTTGGGAACAGCGATAACAGATCGAAATCTGATTCAGGAGGAAATTAAGAGGCGACTGAACTTGGGTAATGCTTGCTACCATTCAGTCCAGAACCTTTTGTCTTCTCGTCTGTTGTCCAAAAACATAAAAATTAGAATATACAAAACTATAAATTTGCCTGTGGTTCTATATGGGTGTGAAACTTGGTCTCTGACATTAAGGGAGGAACACAGACTGAGGTATTTGAGAACAGGGTGTTGAGGAGAATATTTGGACTGAAGAGAGATGAAGTGACAGGAGGTTGGAGAAAAGTGCATAATGAGGAGCTTCATAACTTGTACTCTTCTCCAAGTATAATTAGAATGATCAAGTCAAGGAGGATGAGGTGGACAGGTCATGTAGCACGAATGGGGCAGACAAGAAATGCATATAGGATATTGTTTGGAAAGCCAAGAGGAAAGAGACCACTGGGAAGACCAGGGCGTAGGTGGGTGGACAATATTAGAATGGATCTTAAGATAGGATGGGATGGCATCGATTGGACAGATAGGGATCGGTGGTGGGCTCTTTTGAACACGGTAATGAACCTTCGGGTTCCATAAAATGCTGGGAAATTCTTGAGTAGCTGCTGAATTGGCGGCTTCTCCAGAAGGGCTCAGCTCCACGAGTAAGTAAGTAAATAATATATAACATAATTCACATTTACCTCTATGAATTACCTAAACTGTTCCTGTATTGATTTCCATTTTCTGGCGTTTCGGCTATAATCTGACGAAGACGGACGGTTAACGAAGTACATTACATTTATTGTTCTCACGACGATATGCCTATGGGTGATCATTGACAGTATCAAGAATAGAGCTTTCAAATTTGCAAGCATCCAAACTGACTAATCAGGTCGCCTCTCTTCGATGCTCCTTGACCAGGGTTACAGACTCGAAGAAGAAACCAAAATTCGCATTCCCTCTAATTCGTTCCAGTCATACCTCGTACTCACATAATTAAAGTGAAGCAATAAATAACTTATTTTTTTAAAACACCAATAAGAATAACCTAAGCCAAACCCAATTTAATTTCTAGTTTCCTAAAGTCAATTTATCCCTGTGAACATCGCTAGCGTATTGGTGAACTGCGGTGTTGTCTAACCTGGAGTGCATGTTTATAGCGCTACTAGCGAGGATTACTAGAATTACTAGCACTTCAAGATGGGCCACGTTGGCTCACAATTTCATGCGATATAGGCACGTACAGTCGTTGCCCTCACAAACACTGGGATCGTGGGTTCGAATCCCACTTGAGGCATGAATGTATGTGTGCGTTTATTATCTGTTTGTGCTGCCCTGTGTGTAGGTAGCGGCCTAGCGACGGGCTGATTCCCCATCCAACGTGTCCTACCGACTGAGTAGAAAAATCAAGAAACTGAGAAAGCTGCCAAGGTTCAACAAAGGGCTGTAGACCCTTACATAGATAGGCAAAAAGAAGTTACGTATTCCTTTCCCAATTAAAAATTGCTATTACAGGCAAATAATTTTAAGAGTTACTACACCGATGAAAGTCTGGTAAATAATGATGATGATAAGGAGGAGGAGGATAAGGAGGATGGTGATGGTAATGATGACAGGATTTCACTTTTGTGCAGCTGAAGGATTTATAAAGCCAGTGAATCTGAATAAGAAGAATTGCAGAGAGTCACGAATAAATTATGCCGCTGACGTTAGTACACTCTGGTTCTTTGTTCACAAGTTTTACTATAATAATTTTGTAAAAATTTATACATTATTATCAGGCACTTGAATGACATGGGTTAATCCAGTAACTCTCCCTTGAATATTAACGTAACGATCTCAAGTAAATTATTCAAACCCAGTCATTTGGTTAAAAATATATATTGACTAAGGTGAAAATTTTATGAATAAATGGCTTATATTCAACAAAGCTTATATATTATCGAATTGTTTACAATTTACTAAGTGAGTTTTAAATTAATGCAATCATATTGTCACGTGTAGGGTGGTACGCTTGACGAAAATGACCGGTTTAATAAAAAAGATAAATAAGAGCCCTGGAGCTGGCGTGTACTGCTATGGCACGAGGCGGAAACTTAGTTTCAGCCTTGGGCAGTACACAACAGTATTCCAGGCAGAAGTATATGCCAGTAAGGCATGTATTATGGAGAATTTAGATAGGAACTATAGAAATAGGAACATCTACATTCTATCTGACAGCCAAGCTGCACTTAAAGCGCTTCACAGACACCAGATCAACTCAAAATTGTTCTGGGATTGCCACCAAACCCTCATGTAACTGTCCAAACATGACAGGGTACAACTGGTATGGGTGCCAGGGCATGAGGGTATTGCTGGAAACGAAACAGCAGACCAACTGGCCAAGATTGGAGTTGAACATCCGTTCACAGGACCTGAACCAGCCTGTGGCATCTCTATAGGAGTTGCCAGAAAGGCAATCAGGGACTGGACAAACATGAAACAAGAAATACTGGGGATTCTTAACTGGACTCAGGCAAGCAAAGGGACTCATACGAGGACCCTCTACTAAAAGAGCGAAGGAAGTGTTGAAGTTAAACAGGAACCAGCTACGATGGGCGGTAGGACTACATACAAGACACTGTCACCTTAAAGGACACCTCTTTAGACTGGGACTAAGTGATAGTCCCACTTGTGAGGGGTGTCAAGAAGAAAATGAAACAGCCACACATATCCTGTGCGAATGTGAGGCCTCAGCTTATTTAAGATTACGCCACTTGGGTCAATATTTTATGGAACCAAGTGATTATTTCGACGTCCCTACGTACAAAATCCTACGCTTCATTCGAAGCGCGGGATTGTTGAGGGGATAATCAAAGGGGAGGCACAACAGATCACTGTGGTCGCGGTGCAAGGGCCAAGAAGGCCCACCCCTTATACGTTCATTCATACATTACTAGCTACTAGGTTGTGACCCATGTAGTCTCTTAGAAGTTTACCGCACGTTTTGGAGGAATATAATATATTCATTTTCAGGGTCGAGAAGTAAGCCAAGCAAGCAATAGGAAGTAAGTAGAAGTATTTCTTTTTGCCATCTGCTTCACTCCCTTTCTTTGAGTCGCTTACTCCTCGACCTTGAAGATGAAGGCAGTACGTATTTCCAAATTGCAGATGAATTTCTATCATACAAAATGGCGTCACATCCCAAAAAAATAATATTCTCCATAGCCACTGCCTTTGAACTTCAAATCTAAAAAATTTAATTTTTCTTTAACACTTCATTAGGTTGGTAGTTAATTAGTTGCGATATCAGGTTGTTCTCACTTATAGGCTGTACGTACTGTCTGATTTGCTGTTTAAAACTATTTCCACTTCGTCAGGTACATAATTCGCTCCTGATCCTGACACTGTGCAAGTATGGGTCACCGAGACCTAGGTGATGAACACTTTACACTAGCAGAGAAAGCATAACAGAACTGCAGTCTCCTTCAATCAAGACACGCTATGTTATAAACCCTTTATTCATTTCATTATCATCTGCTACAGAATATTTGTTGTTGCACTTGTCTCTCCAACTGAAGATGAAGCCTAATGAGGCATCCAAGATTAGAAAATGAAGCAAGAAACGAAAATGATGGTATTATTAATGTCTGGAACGATCCAATTAAAAACGTAAGCAGTGTTGAAACTTCAAATTCGGTATTTAGAGTGGGGCTAAGCTAGATTTTCTTGTCACTAAAAATTTCTTTTCTGTTCCATAAGCTACATTAAGCCTCTGCTTCCGTACTGCCAAACTCACATTCACGTAGCAGGATAACTCATCTCTCACATAGGATGCAATAAGAACCGAAACACAAATATATTCATTATATTTCGTATGTCGAAAATGCCACAACCACATTACTCTAGCTGAACTAGGTTTTCACACATAATGTCTAAAAGGAAAGCATAATATGGAGGTCATATCTGTTAGCTCCGATTGTCCTTGACAGATTTCGTTTAAATGTGACTTCAGTGTGGTTACTCTGTACTGTATGAATTCAATTTTGGTTTGTATCAGTCAAATTTAGAACCTAATTTATATAAAACAGAAATGGAACAGAGAGACTGTGACGAATCCGTTGCCAGAACACGACTAGTGAAGACTGAGATTCCTAGCAGTAGCGCTGTACCTGTAGTCGCGAACTGTGTGAATATATAATGTGCAATAAGTCTAATCGTCCTATCCAAACCCCTTCTGTAGTCACCTCG